ACTTGCCATACAGCAGCACAGAGTGCCAGATGGGGAAAACACCGGGAGAGAAAAAAGAGAACAGCAGAGGGAAGGGGGTGCATGAAGGAGAAGGGCTTAGTAGCAGGAAGAACTGTGAAAGAAAGACAAGGTGAAAGGCACAGGGTGAGGAAAGTATGGAGAGAGGAGGAGCTGAACAGAAAATGCAGACTGGGGCAGAAAGGGTCTGCAGGATGAATAAGAGATGAGAAGAAGCACGAAAAGGGAGAAAAGGAGAGCAGGGCATGCACACTTGATGCGACAAGCAGGTCTCTGCAGGCTGCGAGTGCCGCAGCCAGCTGGGAAACAGAACAGACTGCCGTGTCAGCCGGAGGGCAAGGGCGAGGAGAGGCACCCCAGCTCTCATGGGGCTCTGCTCCCCCTGCCAGCCACAGCCAGGGGACTGCCTGGCTTCCCTACCCACTTCCAACCCTTCAGCTCTGTGTGGTGTTAGGTTTTGCTGTGTGACCTCATTTAAAGAGGTTGTAGTGAGAATATGAGGCCAGCCTTTCAGCTGGGTAAATCAGAGAGGCTGTGCAGGCAGTCTCACCCAACCACACTTTCATTCCTTGAATGATAGTAGTGTCCTGCCTCAGCACCCCTTAGGTCAAGGATGAAGGTCCTGAGTGCTGCATCATGCTGTGACATCTCTGCCCAAGAAAGCTCACCAGGCTTGCTTGTGGGTGTGAGATGAGACGCAGGAGGTGGTTGAAGCAAATGGAAAGTAGGAGTTTGGTGAGACTAGAGAATATGAAAACTGCTTAGCAAGCACACAGGATCTGTGCCTGCTATTTACCACCCAGGCTCCCACTTCTGACGAGGCACTGGCTCTCAGCTCCTGGAACTTTTTGGTTTGAGAGCTCTCATCCAAACAGTGTCTGATCCCTCTGCTACCTTGAGCAGTGACCTGTCACAGAAGTGTAGGGGAATGATCTCCACCATGCACGGGGAGAGCTGGGGTACCAGGAAAGAATCCCTGACTTATTTTCTGGGGTTTATCCAATATGAATTGAAGGCAACACAACCACTTGGCTCTGAACAGGACCCCTAGAGAGCAGAACAGATGGCTATATTAAAAGGAAAAAGCCCTGAGCACAACTGGACTAGCTGACAGCCTCCACAGAGGCTGAAGAGTCTGACTGGCCCTAAGCACTCCATTTTCCTTCTGCTTGCAGCATCCATGATAAGGTTTACTATTACTTTTGTTTGTGGAAAGCAGCCAAGATGCTTGCTGCAGTGCCAGACTGGAGAAAAGCAGCCCTTGCCTCCCAGAGTTCACAACATAGCTGGTATTAACCAAAGCATTCCTTGTGTGTCCCCTCTCTTGCACACATGTGGCTATGCACAAACCTGCTTCCTTGCCTGCAAGCAGACACATATGGCTCTGTGAGAGAAGCCTGACCAGCTCGGTGGGCAGACTCCTGGTCTGCTGCTGTTCCCAGCGTTGCCACTCATGCTGTCTGTGCCCAGGCATGGCAGAAATACGACATTGGCTCCCTTCATCCCAAATGAGCTTATGAGGATGCGCAGGGAGCGAGCTTTACTGGAAAAAGCAGAGTAGCTAATCACTGTGCACTTAGGAGTATTGATTGAGAGGAGGGCCTTCAATCTCTGCTTTCTGCTCGTAGAAAGGGAGGCGTGCTCCTCTCTTACCTTGCAAGATGACGACTCTCTGAGTGCTTTAACCTTCATCAACTGATGTATACAAAGTACTTCTAAAGCTGCCAACTGGCAGCTGCTGTGGAAAAATACCCTGGATTTTCTCAGGTCCCTGATGCTGCGTGTGTGCGTGCCTGTGTGCGCTCGCCTGTGTGCGGCTGCCTGCTTATCAGCTGGGATCCCCGCAGCAGGCGTCTCCGCACCTACCCCTCCGAGAGCATGGCTTGCATTCATGTCTCTGTTTTCTTTGGCTGCCTCCAGCATTTCCCTTGGAACTAGTGGCCAATGGTATAGCTTCTCCTCAGACATCCCCCTCTGTCAGAGCACTCCCATGAAGAGGATTATCATTCTCATACTTGTGAGCCTCATGCTGCCCCACTGTCTCTTTCAGGCTGTTCTCCCTTGGGGATAAGGTCACAAAATCCACAAAGCACATAGATTTGCAATTAGATCTGCTCTGAACAGTACAACAGGAGAAACTGTAGGTTTTACAGTAACAGTCCAAGCAGCTTTAGAAAAAGCTAAGAAAGCTCTGCACCCCCTTTGCCCATATTTAGCTGAAATTCCTCCCAAAGTTTTCAGAAGAAACTAGCTATTTCTTGCAAAAATAAATGCATAAGAGAAAGCAAAAAGTTTCCCTTGAAATCTAATTTCAGTGGAAACTTTTCAAGCAGCTTCAGTGAGCTGTGGAGCTCAGCATGCCCTCTGGTGCCAAAGCCAGGTTTCACAGGCCTTGGAACCTGCCAGCTCCCTATGGCAAAACCAGAGATAAGTTTAATAAGGAAAAAAATAAACCCAATCCCACTCTTGTGGTGATATTCAGGCTTTTTTTCCTAGAAAAATTCATACAAAACCTAAAAATAAGTGAGAATTAAATATTTGTGTGTGTGCCTTGAGTAAGAATAAAGACTCAGAGTTATAAAACATAGACGGGTGCCTTCTTTGGCCCCTGTAATGATCTGTATCACTGTGCCACGTTTACACAAAAGGAAGCAGAAGAGGATTTGCCTGAGGTCAGACTGAAGCCAGTGGAGTCTTTGCAGGAAAAGAGACTGTCTCATATGGGAAGACAAAATGTCCTGAAATGGGACACGGCAGCCGAAGTCCAGCACCAGTTGAGCCAGCGCTGTTCTTTTTTAGCTCCTAATTTCCCTCCCCTTAAAAAGGGGGCAATAATGATACAGCCATATCTCAGGAACACTGGTAGGTGGTGCTTTCCAGCAGACATGCTGGTTATGCAACAATGCTTGCAAAATAAACTTGATGTCTGACTGCCAGATCCAGATTTCCTCTCTTTGATGCAGTATGGGGAAGAAAAAACAGTGATCCCCACTCTCAGAAGGGGAAGACTTTCAGAGTGACTAGAAAGACATCAGCACAAGCCTGATGACATAAATCACTTTGATGAGCCTTCAGGTATGTCCTGCAACTTGACTTACGGCTCTCCTTGCCAAAATGGAATAATTTTATCTCCCCAGTGATCCCACAGCTGTCTGGGCAATCCTGCTGCAGGGAAAACTGAGTTGCTTGTGAATCAGCTCCCGAGTCCCAGCAGTTTATAGGACTGAACTTTAAGCAAAAGCAGTAGTCCCACTTTGAAAAGCTGGGCATGCATTGTGGCAAATCAAAAAGTGGGGTCACAGCCATGCATTCATACCCCACAGATCCAGTGGTTAGCTGGTGACAGCTATGGCACCAAGAAATCCCATGCAAAATCATCCTCCTGCATTAACCCAAATGCTGCGTCTCTGAAGACTTCTGGTTTGTTTAAGCCTGTTGTTATTTGAGACTACAGGCTTGCATTTGTAGCTGTTGCACTAGGCAGAATACTCTGGAAGAGCCAAATCCATAGAGAAGCTGGATTTCTGCAAAGGCCACCTACATTACGCATCCTGTTTGTTTGTTTAGCTGCCTAAACGAAAGCTTGGTGTCCAACTTTCACCATGCAGTAACCTTTTGGCCACCTTTGTGGATCTACTAAGCCTGGACTAACAGAACTCTGAAACAGGAATCAGTTTCTCATTGCCAAGTGCAATCGTTTCCCACATCCTGCAACTCTGCAGTGGAGAGTGGTGGCCGTCCCTGCCTGTGACACAATGTCCCAAAGAGGGGAACGTGCCGCTGTGCTCATACACACTGGAAAAGCCACTGTGAAAGCTGTTTATTTTCACTGCCCAATCATCTAGGACACAGAGCTCAGTTCACTGCAACTCTGCCTCTTTCCACGCTCCAGGTAAATAAGCGTGGGAGCAGCTCAAAAGAAGGACATGTTTTCATTCAACAAGAGCTCCTGATTTGCTTTGTTTGTCTCCACACAAGCAACTGGGAACAGATGTCTCGGCCTTTTTGTACCAGTCACTCATCTGACAAAAGCTCTGTCTAGTTTGTACAGCGTCCTTGTTCTCACACCCTTAACTCATCATTACACAGACATAAACTATCAATGCCCAGCCTTGTGATGCTTCAGGGAGGAGGGTTGACTCTTCAGGAAGAAGGAAGAAAACACATGAAAGGAGTCAAATCTCAAACCTTGCACCAGTTGGTAGGGGTACTACTCTATTGCAACAGGATCATGTACTGTTGAGCCAGCTGAGAGGGGGCAATACTTAAATAAAGATTTTTAAGATGTGTTTCCAGGATCTGACATTTTGCTGGCTTCCTTTCCCTGAGATACAAGATACCTCTAGTCTGCTCCAGACACCAGACAGTAATGTTTAAGAAGTATTTAACCCCTACGCACTGCCTTAGAGTCTTTACTGGCTCTCTAGACTTGTACTTTTATCTCCTTCCAGTATCTTTTAACTTCTACCTTCCACACAGCAAGCAATATGGGCTTTGTGAAGGAGTTGTTTAACCACAGTAACTTCACTGTTAGAAACCACAAGAATTACACGCTTAAAGCTCTCAGAAAAAAAAACCTAAAAATCCCCAAAAGCACTTCCTTACCTCAAGCCAGCCACTTCTTCAGGATCACAGTTCACTAATAGCTCAAACCAGACACATTCTTTCCTGCTTACTTTTTGCTATGCCTCTTTCTCACATGAGGGTCATCACTGACACAGACCATGAACCCCTTCTGAAATTCAGACCCAATTTCAGTATCAGACACACTATGACATATAGCACTCTCCCAGGATCACTAGCCTTGCACATCCTCCCACCCTGGCACAGACAAAGCCGCCTTTGCACAGGGATGCACAAAGACCAGGGACAGCAGCGTGAAGCAGTAGCCAGAGCCCTTCTCTCAGTGCCATGCTCAGAACATAGAGGAAAGCTTATGGTTTGTACTTTATCTGATATAAAAGGACCACAACAGGACTTACCATTATGTTGTAGACACAGTCCTACTTCCAGTATGCACCTGGAGAAATCTCTTCCACCCCTCCAATCAAAAGTGATAACCTGAGGCCCATACCTAGCTTTTATTTCCAGCTTTAAGGGGTTATCCATCTGACAGCACTGAGGGCAAAGCTACCAGTCATGACTACAGCTGACAGAAAGATGATGATTACCCAGAACTGCAGACTGTGTGCTATGTGTAAGTGTTGTTTTTCTTTCTTCTTAAGAAAGAATATCATAGCTTGCTGCAAATATATCCAAGTCTTTTGTAATTGGTGCATTTGCTGGTGATTAGTTACCAGCTAATGATATTTTTGGGTGAATTGAAAACTATTTTTCCCTTTTCTATCTTTTTTTTTTTCAATCATTTGGATCAAGACAGCTGACAGAGGAACTCCCTTAACAAGAACTGTGGAGAAAAGGTGGATGGCTAAAAGCAGCCAAATAACCTACAGCTTGCACTTGGTTAAGAGCAACCAGGTGATTTCCCCCTTGTAAATACCTTTTCTTTTTAATGACAAAAAAATGTGCCTGAATGATTAAAGTTAGGTGTGATGGATCCCACCCCTTGTCTCAGTGCATTTATGGTGCCTGGTGAGTTGAAGAAATAGTTCAGAAACAAAAATGTGGATTGCCCCATCTACTTTAGCATCTTGTCTAAGACAGTAGCAAGCAAAAAGTGCTCAGAGGAGATACAAATTCCAGCCACTGACAGTTACAGAGTCATAGAATCACAGAATAATTTAGATCATCAAATCCAACCATTAACCCAGCGCTGCCAAGTCCACCACGAAACCATGTCCCTAAGTACCACATCTTTCAAATACCTCCAGGGGTGGTGACCCAACCACTTCCCTGGGAAGCCTGCTCCAGTGCTTGACAACCCTTTCAGGGGAGAAATTTTTTCTAATATCCAGTCTAAACCTGCCCTGATGCAACTTGCGGGTATTTCCTCTTGTTCTATCTACTTGGGAGAAGAGATTGACACTCACCCTGCTACAACCTTCTTTCAGCTAGAGAGTGATAAGGTCTCCCCTCAGCCTCCCTTTCTCCTAGCCAAACACCCCAGTTCCCCAGCCGCTCCTCATCACACTTGTGCTCCAGACCCTTCACCAGCTCCATTACACCTATCTGGACCCGCTCCATCACCCTTCTCTGGACCCGCTCCATCACCTCAATGTCTCTCTTGTAGTGAGGGGCCCAGAACTGAACACAGGATTCGAGGTGCGGCCTCACCAGTGCCCATTACAGGGGGATGATCACTGCCCTGGCCCTGCTGGCCACGCTATTTCTGATACAGGCCAGGATGCCACTGGCCTTCATGGCTGCCTGGGCACATGCTGGCTCATGATCAGCCAGCTGTCTACCAATACCCTCAGGTCTTTTTCTACTGAGCAGCTTTCCAGCCACTCTTCCCCAAGCCTGTAGCATTCCACGAGGCTTTTTGTGACCCAAATGCAGGACCTGGCATTTTGCCTTGTTGAACCTCATATAATTGGCCTTGGCCCATCAATCCAGCCTATCCAGATCCCTCTACAGAGCTTTCCTACCCTGCAGTGGATCAACAGTCCCAGCCAACATGGTGTCATCTGCAGACTTACTGAGGGTGCACTCAATTCCCTGATCCCCGTCACTGATAAAGACATTAAGCTGAACTGGCCTTTGAACACCTGACCCAGCGAAAAGATCTCTCTCTAATTCCCTGTAAGTTTGAGGCTTGTCTGTGTCCTGAAGGAAGAGAATTTAATATTCCTTGCAAAATCCCTGGCTCTGGGTAATCTACATTGTTGTAACTGTGGACAAATTTGTTTTCCATAAAAATACCCGGTATTTTTCTAACCTTGCTGAGCTCTTGATCCCTGCAGGTACCTTGTGCCTCATAGTATCATTAGGCGACTGTGAGGGGAGACTGGGCACTCTCAACACGCTTTAACTGCAACTTTGACTCTTTTCCAGGATTTCTAGATAAGCCCCATGGGGAGACAGCAGCCTGTTAGATGCAGACGGGTCTGTCACCTTAGCAATCATTTATGTGATTTCTCCTGTCTCCCCAGGGCATGAATCCCCGGCTCCGGATTAATGGGCCAATGAACATCAACCACTACGCAACGAAGAAGAGTGTGGCAGAGAGCATGCTGGACGTGGCACTGTTCATGGCAAATGTCACGCAGCTCAAAGCGGTGCTGGAGCAGGGGTCATCCTTCCAGTACTATGCCACCCTCATCGTGCTCATCAGCATCTCCCTCTTCTTCCAGGTGGTGATCGGGATTCTCCTCATCATCACTGGTAAGGTGGCCACCGAGGCGCGTGAACCCTCGCAAGGTGCTGCAGGGGCAGGGCACCCCATTGGCTGGCAAGGGGGTGGGAGGCAGAAGCCTGTCTCCCCAGTGCATTCCCCCTGGCTGCAAGCAGGGGGGTTGAAGACAGCTTGATGTGGGCAGTGGGGAGGTTTGTGTTACTGCTTTTCTAAGTGGTGAGTGGGTTGGGATTTTCTCTTGCGTAACAGCACTGAGCATTACTTTTCCCTTACTTCCCCACTGCTGAATCCCTGTTGCAGGGAGAGGGCTAAGTTTTCTACCTCTTGCTGACCATCCTGGAACATGCTCCTTCATACAGCTCCTGCAGATACTGCATTTTAGCTGTATCGTTCACCTCACTCAAGCTGGGGCCTAAGAGAACAATTGAGGAAGAGATATTAACCCTATATTAACCTCACATTTAACCAATCCCACAGTTTTCTTAATGCCATACAGGCAACACCACCATTTCAGACAGGCTTGTCCAGTGCTCTGTCTAATACAGGAGTTGCTATACTTTGGCCTTCAACACATGCCCAGTATTAAATATGTGAAGAATGCTGCTTTTTCCTGTACAACCTATGTGGTTTTTAACGTGGGACATGGGATCAGAGTCTACTTGAAATCCTGTGATGTGTTCCTTCTGCTGCCGCACATGGCACAGCCTTTCCTGGTGGCAGCCGCAGTGGCTGTAGCCAGCTGTGAGGCCAAGGGGGACAGGGGGCCACAAGGCTGCTATTCACATGGCTTATTCACCAGACAGCCCCAGTAACCAGCACGTTCCCATATCTGAACTGATCAATGCCCATCAGCTGTGGCCCCTGTAAAGTTCCTGGGACTATTCCCCCAGCTGCAGGGCACCATGGACATTTACTGGGCAGGGAAGGCTTGCAGGGGCTGGAAGACTTGGAGTCAAGCTACAAATCTGCCTTTCTTTTTGCATCGTGCTGCACAGCTCGTTTGAACCTGAATGATGTTGCAAAACAACCCCGCCTGAATATACTCAACAATGCTGCCACAGCTCTCATCTTCATCACAGTCATCCTCAACATCTTCATCACGGCCTTTGGGGTGCAGAAGACCGGCCTCTACCCTAACAGGAATTTTAGACCTTATTAAGTCACTGGCAAATGGAGTCAGGTAAGAAAGAGGTGAGTTCCCATCACTGCCAGCCCCTAGAAAGGCTCTTGGACTCAGAAAACATAATTTCAAGGTGAAAAAGGAGAAGGCAAAGCTGCACAAATTAACAAAGCCTTTCCAGGGGCATGTTCCTGTCCCACAAGCATCTGGAGCCAATGAACAAATTCCCTCAGAGGAGGAGGATTTCTCCTTACTTTGTCTTTAAAGGAAGAGCACCAAATATCCCAACTGTTGGGATTTACGAGCAGCAAGTGGTTTCCAGGAGGCTGCCAACCTCATGATAGTTACGGATAGGAGTTGTGGATAGGAGCTAAATTTGGGAAAGAAAACTATGTGCGCTCTAGAAGGTATCCAAAGATGGCAGCCTTATCTGAGCAGAAGAAAAGGAAGGTGCTGGTGGGGTGGAGGAAGAGCTCTTCACGACAGCCAATGTGGTTTGCAAGGGGCTGTTTTAAGACTCTTTCATTTTCAAGAGTCTTGTGAATAAGAGTCCAACCAAATGTTTGGGTTCCTGTGTCAGGTCAATGAGGGAATGATACGTTTTTAGGTCAAAAGTGCTTTAGGTCAAGAAGCAAAGTTCACATCCCTTGCTTACATGACCTGCAATGTGTAAACATAGTTTAAATGCAATATACTGGGCCAACAGCTAGTAAGAAAGCTTGAAAGACAACATAATATGATGAGGGAGGATACAGAGGCCAAAAGCCTCTATAAAAACACTGCTGGCTTGTGGTCAAGGAGGGTGTGAGCACTGTGGAGCAGCACCCCACACCCATAGGGGTGGCCAAGTGACCCAGTACACTATGACTGTGCCTCTCTGCCCATGTAACGTGGAGGAGCCTGCTGCAACCTTATACTGGTATTTCTTGTCTTCCCTGCAGGATCTGAGCAGTGCAGCTGGTGGGGAAAGCTCTCCTTCTCTACATTTTCACCGACCTCAGCAGGAGCCCATTGATGAATCCAGAAAACTGGGTTAAACTTTCCAGACTGTGTTTGTGTCCTGGTATACCAGCCCCTTACCGTAATGCTTTTGCAGTTCTGAAGGGGTAAAAGCATTGCCTTTCCAAGCTAGTGCAAGGTTTGCTAGAGAAATCTGCAGGAACAGCAGCAGGTACACAGTTTCAAAGCACAGTTCTGTAAATCTCATCTCTTATTTTTGTTCTATGCATCATATACTCAATATTGGCTCACTTTGTAGAGAAGACTAAACAATTTACTTTGTAGGCTAAGTAAACAAGGGAAGTCCAGCTTTTTTGTCTCAAGCATAATTTGCTACACTTACAGCAATGCTATCCAGTAGTTTACCTCCCGAATGTTGGAATGGATTTCTCAAACTATAAATAAAAGAAGTTCTCATGGGAGGATAGAAAAGCGTGTGTATATCAATGCAGCTAAAACCAGTTCATATATTTTCCTAGTTGTCTGAAATTAAACGTGACACAGTTAAGGAAACAATCAGATATTCCAGCATTGGAAAATTAACAATGACAGAAAATAGATATTCTGGTATGATGTCATTGCCAGGGACCAATCAGGAATGATGTAAAAACAGCCTGACAATATTTAGTAGAAAATGAAGAAACATTATACAGAAGGAGATGCTGTAGGCTTATTGCCACAATGAGAAATGGCAGGTGCATGGTGTATTAATTTATTAAAAACATCACCATTATAATTTAAGGTCTCATCACTAACATAAATGGGTTTAAATATATCATTTTTACATTGACGATGCTGGGAATTCTCTTGTACTAGAACAATTTGTTTCCTTTAAAATATGTCTTTGAATTAACGACTTTACAGATACTTTTTTTTAAAGAGTAAAATTTTGATCCTAAATTTTGTAACTCTGTTATCATGCTAAAAACTTGATATTCTGATAGCCTGGTGTAAGCCTATTTAAACAGTGACATGCTTTTCTGATTATTAAACTATTTCTTATTCATTGTAAGGCAGAATGAGCATTCAATGTGGATTTTCATTTCCATACTCTTTCTACCACTGAGAAAGAAATGCCACCAAAGTGCCCACGTATTGGTCCTCAGGAGCTACAGGAGTGCCTGATGCTTAAAACCAGACACAGGCAGATTTCATTGGTAGTCTGTATTTGAATTTCCAGGACTAAGTTTCTGTTTAAGTCAGAGTTGGTGGTTTTGTTTCTGGAGGGGGTGTGAATGATTTTGCCCACAAGGGCTGTTGGGCAGGACTATGGGCCAGCATCAGCTGGTGCCTGCAAATGGCAGCGGAGTTTGACAGCTGAGGGAAAGTTGCATGGAAAGAGTAGGGTGGAAAATACCAGTTGTGCATTTACCAGAATCTAAATCAACAAAGCTGAGCGCAGTCTGGGATCTGTTTGGTGAAGCAGGTAAAGACTCATCCATCCGGGAGATGGTAGGTCTGGAGCAACACTGAAGTTTGCTCCTTATCTTGGTCCTTGGTCTCTGGTGAGACCGACAGCAAACAGGGCTGAACGTTCCTGGGAAGCCTTTGTTATTCTGCTCTCCCTTAGAGAAAGGCTTCACTGCAGAGGTAGCAAAACTAGTTCTAGCCAATGCAAAACCACCAGCTAAAGGCTTTCAGCCATTACTGACCATCTGGATTCATGAAAAGGTAGAAAATTATGCATCTTGTGCAGATCCCAAATCCTATGACTTATTGCTTCTCAGAGCAGGAGGCAAAGCAATTAGCATCGATGACTGAATGTAAAGAGAGGAAAACCCCAAGACAGAAAAGGTTCAGCTGGGAAAGAAGCAGTGAAGGGAATTTCATTACCAGATCTTGAATTCAGCATCATCATCTCAGAGAGCTGCCAGATCAGGTATGGCAGCATGTGGCCTGAGGAAAGAGGACTTCCTGCCACCCAGCCCAGGCAAGCAGAAGACTAATAGCAGCACACTGGAATGCTTTTCCCCATCACCTTTAATAATCTTTACCATTATAATGTAATCAGACTCATTAGCAAACTTGGCTGCCTTTTTCCCTCTCCAGGGCTGACTCCCATCCCTGCCAAGCTTTTTATACTCAAAGGAGGCGCAGCTGAAATGAAAAGGGGCCAAATTTGAATCTAAATAACCAGCTGCAGTGAAAGAGCTGACCTCTCATTTGTGTAGGCTATACCAACTACTGAACTCAGGTCTAAGCTTTGACCTGCAGTCTTCTCCAGGAATTGTTCCTTGCTTGTGAGAGGGACCGCTTCGCTCTCCGCTTTCTCTCTGTGATGATGACGTTGCACTTGTGCTTTTCTGGGATGTGTGTATTTATCTAATGTTTCTACCTTGTTTCATGTGATAAACCCAGGAACACAGGAGAAAAACTGTTTTGTTGCCACACCACTTTCTACAGCCCTAGAGAGGACCAAAACAGGTCTTGCTCCTGGCTAACCTTGCTCGCTGCACCCCATCTCTTCCTGCAGAGCTCTTGCTGGCTTGGGCAGAGAGTGACCTGTCTCTCTGGTACTGCCTACGTCTTCGGTTATATGAAGCAGAGGAGAAACACCTGGTTCCTAATCCCTACTGTATGGTGACGCAGGAGTGAGTAACACACAGACAGAACTAAGCTCTTGTAGGAAGACAATGTATTTATGAAACATGAGGAAGAACCAGTATATCCCCCAGCTCTACAGAGGGATGGCCCAGGAGTCATCTTGAAGGCACAGAGCCACTTTAAGGCAGATAATTCAAAGGTACAATTCAGGTTTTGACACAAGGCATCAGTATCTAAAAAACAATCAACTTGAGACATTTTTAGGCAATAAGAAGAGACGAGATGTTCATACCATGCAAATGTTAAAGACAATGACAAAAAAAGTCACATTGTAATTTTCACACAATACCTTTCTCTCAGAATAAAAGCCAGCCCTTCTTATTTCCCTTTGCTGACCTGAAAAACAAGCCTCAGCCCCACAATTCATAGTCCTGAAGACAGAGTCAGCATTTGTGAGCAGATCCCACTTGATGTACCTGAGTCCCCAGCCTGGCCACATCCTGCCCCAGGGAAAGTCTCTGCTGCAGCATAGCCCATCATCTTAAAAGGATCCTGGTGACAGAAACAAAATCACTGTTGGGGGAGTCACCTTCCAAGCCATGGTGAAGCCAGGTTCCCTCTTGCTCTCTGAGAGCTGTGCCAGACCCAGAAATGAGCCCTCCTCACAGCAGCAGTGCATGCCATGCAACACTAGTGATAGGGCAAACCGCCTTCTGATCAGGGACCATGGTGGGCCACATGGCCACATCCTTTCAGTGCACAGCTGTGGGACTACCCGCTCCTGCAAGGTTTGCTGCTGGCCAGCAAGCTGGGGAGTGTGTAGCCCCTTCTCTCCCTGCAACCTACAGTGGTCTTGTGAGCATGTTGGCTGGAAGACAGCTTTTGTCCTCATGGGTCCTCTCCAAGCTCCTCCATGGAGGCTGCCAACTAGTGCCAAGTAGCATTGATCACATCTACTACTGCAATGCTTAAACACCAACTAAGAATCTCCACTGCGCTTGAAAGGGAAGAACTTTTGTGATGGCAACTTTGACAGTGCTGACATTGGCCATCAGAAAACTGGACTGAAACCAGACTGAAACTCCCTACATCTCCACCAAGGAGTCCTCATGAGGTAAACAGTTCTACTTGCCCCTGGCCTGGGTTACAAGGCATGAAGGACGTCTCTGCCATGGCAGGGGGGTTGGAACTGGATTATTTTAAGGTCCTTTCCAACCCAAACCATTCTATGATTCTATGATCCTAAAGGAGCACAGTCACAGCTAAAGCATGGGGGTTAAATCCTCACATTCTGCTGGCAGTGCTGGGGTGAGGGCTGCACTCTACTTTCCAGTCCACTCTTTCCTGATTGTCCTCTCTGGTGAGAAAGAGGGGTTACTCATACAATTTAAGCGAAGTGAGTTACCTTCTGGATGCACCTAATTCTTGCCAGTGTCTGCAGATGAACACCAGCTGATAATTTCAGGTGCTGCAGACCACATCTAAGCCAGATGTGAAAGCACACTCTATGCATGACATAAGAGCTGCCACTGAATCCATTGGGTCTCCATTTCCAAAATGGGCATCATGCTGTTCTCTGCTTGATGGGGTCACACAGCTGGGTCCTGCTGGTGCTTCACCTCATCCCAGAGCTTGCCTTCCCTGCCAGCCTCTCCCCATTCCACAGGGATTGCGTGACAGAGCCAGCCCAGGCAGGCTGCGGAGGCACAGTCCTGGGGCCTGGAGAGCAGCTCACCTGCACACTCGTGGGGTTGTGCCTGCATTTGAGTGAAGCACAGGCTCTGACATGCACCAGGAGCATGACTGACACTGCACATTCCAGGCAGACACAGAGCTTATTGCATCAAAGGGCTTTGGCCTCCTAAACTCCCATAAGACATGTCAGCCTCTTCCCTCTCACCCCAACTGCAGTGTTTCATTTCCTGGTCTCTGCATGGGTAAAGTACTTTCCCTCAATTAAAGAGACTGTCCTGGCTTGGGCAGAAGGCTAAGGCTGCCTCTTCTGAGATACTGAGTGTCTGCACTCTGGCAAAGGCTCCACAGAGACACAGCTCTCACCATAGCTGTACACTGCACAGTAAATCTTGCTGAAATCTGATTGACTTCTTCTGACTCCATCAGTCACAAAACCTGGACTGAGGCAAGCAGATGATTTGATGAGATCTCTACCTCATGTGCCGGAACTTGCATGTTCAGTTTTCTACTGCAATAGTGGAGCCTGATGGACTTGTCAAGCACCACAGAATAAATAATAAATGAATGCCTATTCTGAACTGGCATTCATTCCATCAGCAAACAACTTTAGTACCTTGTCAGCACAGTATACATCCTTCATTATTCACTTTTCACTCTGTGCAGAGATGGGTGCCATGAGAACCTATGTCATGCTCTTCCCTGAAGCTTGCAACCAGTAGCAGCCTTTTCTGCATGGTATGGGAACACTGAAGCTCTAATGTAGAGCACTGAGTGTGCCGGGGTTTCTGGGTTTCTGTAGTCTTGTAAAATAGTTACAGAGGTAAAAAATCTTGCCTTGCATTAACAGGAATTACAGGGGATGAGAATTCCCTGTAGCATCAAGTCAGCTGTGGACAAGGGCTCTTTTCACAGTCCTTGGATAAATGCCAGCATAGGTCTGCACCTCCTTTTACTCACTCAACCCTCTTCTCTCCTCGCTGTTCTTTGCACCCAGGGCATATGCTAAGACCTGAGGCCACCTCCTCTATACCAGGCCAATGCTCCCAGGGCTGTTCCAGCGATGAAGCACCAACAACTGTGCTGGTTCTTCAACCATGAAGCACCAACAGCTGTGCTGGTTCTTGAACCATGAAGCCTGCTTTTTACAGAAAAGTCAAACTATGACAAGACATAACTGTGAGGCCATAACTTATTAAATTAACCTTTAGATGTGGCATAAATGTACAGGATTTGGAGAGCAGAACACTCTGTCTCCTCTTTTTCTGACAAATCCACAATATTTCAACTAATAAAATATTGCCACTTCTTCCCTGCTAGAGTTTCCCTGATATCATTAGGACAAACACACAGGTCTGTCAGATAAGGCTGCAAAGTTCCTCCTGAGATGCCCTCCTAGCTTCTCTGTATAACCCCTCCACTATCCTCAGGCAGTGGATCAATAATTTAAGTGGGCTTGTAACATCAATCCCTGCCACTTTGCCCAGCTGCGGGCAAACTTGGCTCTCATAAGGGAAGTGTACTTGCATCTCCACCCGTGGCCCATAATTTGCTGAATATGAGCACAGTTGTTCCTAATGAATAAAGTGAAAAGCACAGAGAAACGTCTAAGCACCAGCAGCCTAAAGTGCCTAAGAGCTCCTCCCAAGATTTCCTTGGGTCAGCATATGGGCATGTGGACACAGTACAGTCCAGAGAACTTCCTTTGGTCCCCTGTCCAAAAGCACGGATACTGGAGAGATGGGGAAGGAGGGGAAATGGAAGGGTTGTTGTTTTTTCTTTTTTCCATTCAAGTATTGAAGGATAAGCTGTGTTACTCTAAATAAACCATTCTGGGCTTAGCTGGGATTTGTGTCTGTTTGGTTTGCGCTACACAAGACTCAATGGGAAATATGGCACCTCTCCCACTGTACCATTCGCCAGACCGCACGGCAGGAAATACAAGTCCTTCACTTGTCAACATCTCACCTGCACAACTTCCCCCTGCAAGACACAGACCCCATGTCTTGGATACAACAGCTCACAGGAGAAGCTCTTGCTCCCCTAGCCTGACCATTCCTTCCTCGGCTGTGCTGGCCCATTAGAGGGCTCTGAAGGCAGAGGAAGAGTTTGTGTGCTCGGCTCTGCGCCTTGATAAAGTGCACATTGAGACGAGACGGTGGACGGTGCTGCCGAGCAGCTTTGGGGTTGAAGGCTACAGTGTCTTCAGCTGGCGCCTGTTCCACATGCCCCGCTTCGAATGAAACCAGTGGAAGAAGTTTCTCAGGGAGAGACGCTCCACTTCCAGGCCGGCCTGCAAGATCCTGGATAAAGGAGAAGGATACACTTAGGGAAAACAGGATAACAAAGATACACTGGGGGCTCAGCCCCAGGAAATCTCTCTTAAGTTGTGCTGTTGTCAAGAGACTTCAATCAAACTGAGGAGTAAGGAATAGCTCAGGCATCTAATCTATCTAATGACACTTGCTGAGTGTTTATGCACCCTTGAAAGCAGGACTGGTCAGGAGCAGCCTACATATGACAGGCTAGAAGGAAAGACAGCTGTCAACATGGGATTGCTCAGGATGACAAGGGACTCCTACCTGTCCAGGAGTTCCCAGTCCTCTCCTCCCCAGCGGTCCCGAAACTCTTTTGTGTTCATGCCTCCAATCTTGTCCAGGTCAGACTTGTATATGCCCAGGAGACCAAACCCATTCACCTCCCAGTAGCCTGAGAATGACACAAAGAGGCACAGGTATGTGGGCATTTTGAACCATTGATGACGCCAGCTTGATGCTGATACCAGATTTTCAGCTCAGCACCAAGGCAGAGCCACCCATATTAAAGCTTTGGGAAGTGTTAGGACTGCCCTACGAACTTGTTAGCAGAGCCTCTCACATCTCCTGTCTGGCAGCATAGTACCTAGTATATTTAGACCACCCCAGCTTCAAAGGGTTGTCCCTGTGCCTGGGTGGCTCAGGATGGCCACCTGTCTAACATCGGGATGATTCTAACATCAGATGATCTGTGCCACCCACTTTTCTCCCCCTGAATTGGATTGGTTTCCCTCATCCCGAGGCAACCAGCTCTCCTCAGGACAGGCTGTGCCCCCTTATCAAAGAAAGAAATGGACAGAAAGAAGCAGAAGAGGAGTTTGTCAAGGTTCTCAAACCCATAGAGAGCCCTAGAAGAAGTGTCATGTAAAGGGCTCTGCTGGCTCTCTGATCTCAAACTGCAGATTCCTGACACTGTTAAAACCCATCCTATCTCTAATGTACCCTCAACTAGTGCCCCTAGAAGTATCTTAAGCTCCAGACCTCAACAGCACCAGAGAAACAACTGTAGAGGTGGCAGGCACCCTCCTTCTTTCCCCATTCCCCAAGATCTGAGCCAAAGAGGCTCCACTCCCTCTTACCATCAGGCCACTGTGGGGACATGCCACAGTGCAGCCTCATGACCATGGGTGCGAAAGCCATCTTGCCTTCCACGCAGTGCTTCCGGATTGAATCAATGACTCCAGCTGGGAAGTGGATGTGGAGGTCGCACAGGAAAATGATGCTGTGTGGGTCCTGGAACCAGCCACACAGGTTGGGAAAGAAATTGGTTGACTTTAAGTAAGTCTTTCTTGAGGGGCAGGAAGATGTGGGAAATGTGGGAGAGAATTAAAAAGCCATTTGTTGCTACATCAGAAACTGAGATCTTAGAGGCTGGCAAAACAGCCACTGAGGGGCTGTTCAACAAAGGGTGTGAAATACTGTAACTGTGACTTGTCAAAGCCAGTATCACAAAGCTGCTACTGCTGTCCTCCCTCCTGTTCGATAGTCCCAGCAGGCGGACCGAGAACTGAATGGACCACAGGCTCCTTAGAATAAAGGGTGAGACCCTTATTCTAGAGAGACAGGAAACACATCTACATTTGATCTGTTCTGCTAGGCTACTCCCTTCCCTAAAACCCCAGCATGTTCAGTGTGAAAGGCAGAGCACCAGACACATACTAGAACCTTCCCTGTTTCTTCCACCCCAAGGCCCCCAGGCTTACCGTCACAAGGTCTATCCCCGCCTGCAGCCCGGCAGAACGCTCGAAATTCCCTGTGAGCTTCAAGTACCGATAGCTGAGGGTCAGAGGGTAAAGTAGAGTGATATATGCTGGTGAGCACAGAAAGCACCACTAGCAGTGGTACACTGCAGGCATTGGGCTGTGGAGCTGCCCATGCCCCTGTGTATCCTCTCGGGGAGGAGGAAAGCCTTTGCTCTGTGGGAGTGCACAAGCTCAGCACTGCTGGAGGCCCCAGCATACCCTGAGGGTCTTCCCTCTTGTGAAGCAGGGATAGGGCAGTCCCTAGCCAGTCTTTTCAGCTCTAGTCCAGCTCTACCCTAGGGCTAGACCTGTTACTGGAAACCCTGGTACATAAGAGAAATGACCAGCAAAGGCTGGTACACAACAGAGTAGAGTAAGCCAGACAGTTACTCCAGCAAGCGGAGTCCCCAGAGGTCTCCACACTGTCCCATTTGTCAGAGCTTTCTTGTCCTTCCCCTGCCCCCTCGCTGTGAGACTTGCTTTCTCTTCTCTCTTGCAAACTTGAACAAAAGCCAGGAGAAAAGAGATGCATCTGTATGGATGAATACAGTAAGTATAGTCTTACCGTTTTATAAGACTATTATATACACTGTAGTGTATATAATTTATACATATACATAATTATACATTATAATAAGAACATATTCATGTATATGGATGGATATCTTTGGGATATCACAGGAAATTGTGGCTAGTCAATACACAGAGATTGGCAGACGTGCAGTGTTTGCAGGCATGTGCATGTGAGCTGGTTTTTGTGACCAAGCAGTACTCCCACCTGTGCAAGGCAGACCGTTTCAGAGCCTTCTCTACATCCATGTCATCACTGCTGTAGTCTGTGATGATGATGTTGAAGTACGGATCCTTAGTGACTCGGAACAGCTCCTCCATATCGGAGATGAACTGCAGCACCCAACGTGCCTGGTTTTTCACTGGTTGTATTGCAAGAAGGAGAGAATCAAAGCAAAGCTAATTTCAATGATCCTGTGGCTTCTCAACAGTCAAGGCTTCTTGTCTTCCCTCAAACCCTACTAGCCTTGCAGGGATGCTGAAATAGGCCCAGGCTGAAAACCTGGACCAAAGAGCTCAGGAATCAGTGTTAGTTCTTTCCCAGTGCGTGACAGGAGTTTTCTTTGAGCTTACAAGCCAAATTTGGGAATTTGGGCTCAGTCTATTTCTGAGGGGGTTTAATTTGGAGAGAACAGAAATTGGAAGTGACTCAAACAGGAAAATTGAGGCTGGCCCAGACCCGCTGCTCAGGAGTGCTCTGCTGGGAACCTCCCACTGTGCCATCCCTCGATGTCCCCCTTACCTGGCACCACAAAGTGAACCACAGCACGGTGGTTCCAGGAAAAGCCCTGTGGCCAGCACAGCTCTGGCTCGTCTGCCACAGCCATCAGGTGCCGCCGGCGACCCCACGCCAGGTTCCTCATCTTCCTCTCCTCCTCCTCATCGCCACCAATGCCCTGCCAGCCCCGTGCAAAGACGTACTCGCTGAAGCGGACGAGTCGCCCTCCCTGCTCCAGCAGCTCCAGCTCCAGCAGGTAGCGGCTGCCCCGCATGCGGTCCTGGCGCTTCTCCACGTTCACAATACGCTGCAGCTGGAACCGCCTGCAGGGGATACAGCGGGGGTGAGCACATCCCCTGTACACCAGCCCCTCGCCCTCCACCAGCCTGTTCGGCTCTGCTAGGCTCTTTCCTCCTGGCTAGCACAAACCTTTCTGTCCCCAGACTCCCTCTGCTTTGCTGCATCACTTCCAAAGTCCCATGGGAAGGCTTAGCACCTGTTTCCTAAATGTACAAGCGTGTGGGATTAGACCTGGGAAGCCAGCCAAGTTGGCAAGGGAAATTAAATAAAGGTGACACAGAAAATAACAAATGTGACTGAATGATTGAATAGTAAGTGTATTTGACACCTCCCACAGCGATCTTGGCACAAGGAGTATGTTTGGGCTAGTGAAATTGGCTCATGACAGCTTATCAGCCAATTACACAGAGTAGGACTGAGCAGTTCTACTGTAAAAATGGGGGTGAGCTACATGGTCAGAATGGTCAAAACAGGATGAAATGTCAGGTCATGCCCTTTCGGATCACAAGAGTTCCTGCTGTAAAATAGACACTCAACAGTTAAAATGCTGAGAAAAGCTTATGTGTACTGATCAGTTAGACCATGACTGATATGATACTGAAAAAACAAACGCAACCTTAAGATGTAGCATTAGAGCTACTTCCAGCAGGGATTGGGAACTAATAACATCCACTTTATAAGCACATCCGGGATACTGGTCACTAATGTACAAGAAAACTGACCCAAACCAAAACCCGCATGGAGAAGGACAGATAGGAATACTGTGGAAATAGAGGCCAACTCAACAGAAGGGTCAGGAGCTGGATTGTTTAGCTTATAGAAGCTTAGAGAAGGTATATCTTTGCCAGAAAGGCAATCAAGATGGTAAGGCTTGGGAAGAAAAAGAACCATATTGTGACACATTCAGATAACAGTGTAGGGTATGAGGTCAGTATACGGACCCACATAATCTGACAGGTTCCTTCTGGTCCTACGTCCTAAGTGATTCATAAGCTGAGATGTGGCAGACACCAAACAACGAGCACAAGGAGGTCCAGTCCTAATTCGTATCACCAGGGTTTCTTAATCTTCAGCTGGTAAAATGCTAATATGTGTTCTCAATACTTACACTCTGCAAGGAGGAAGCCAGCAAAAGGCCAGTGATAACCAGCTGGATGGAAACCTCCAATCTTTTGGGTTTACTGCCACCAGCTGTTGGAGGGCAATATTCAGCCCCCAGACATGGTCTGGTGTCCAACTAGTCCAATTTCTCAGACAAAAAGGAATTTAAAGCCCAATTTGTTTCATAGATTCCTTGCCTGAAGTCTTATTTCCCACATCTACTTTATCCTCTGATTCCCACTGTCTCGTTACGTGACAAGTATTCCCTGTGTAGCATGGTACACCAGCTCTGGAATACCACCTCTTAGTTTCTACATGGTGCCTTACCCTTTAGTCCTCTGGTTGAGCTTCTTCAGGAAGACACGTGTGACTTCCAGGGCCTCCCTTTCTTTTAGCAGCAAGTTTCCTGACGTGTTGCATTTCAGGTCAATCCAATCTGTGCGCAGCATATGGAAGTCCAGATTGCTTGTGCTGAAGGTCTGCTCCCAGTTCACCGCCTGGTCGAACACTGGTACGTAATCAAAATCCTCTTCATCTTCCTCCTCTGGCTCCCCATCCACCTCTTCCTCTTCCTCTTCTGCCGCCACAGGCCCAGACTTGTCCTTTGCAGGAGATGCCGCTTGCACCTCTCCGTTAGCCATGTCCCCATCATTGGCCACCTTCTGCTCAGCAATGTAGGACTCCACTTGCTTCAGCCACTGTGTCAGCCCAGGCTGGTGGCTGGGGCTGGCAGTGCTTACAGCACGTCTGCCAGCCTTGCCAGAGACTGGAGTTCCCTTCCTGGCTGGCACAGTGCTTACTGGCTGCAGCCCATCCTTAGTAGTGCTAAGGTCTCCTTGAGGTCTCAGTCCTTTGGGACTCATGACCCCTGAGTTCCTGGGGACACTGAGAGGCTGCTGAGACACAGTCTTAGAAGGAGGGTTTGCCTTTTTGACAGTTGCTCTCCCCTGGACAGCCCTGGCGTGCTGCGGAGGGCTCCTGGAGTTGTCTTTGACGCCAGCTTTTAGACGGGGTCTCTTCATTACTGGGTTCCCTTCTAAGCCAGCCTGGCTGAGGCTGTGGTTGGCAGAGGCCACCGTGGCTGATTTGACAGCAGACCTCTTTGTCCTTTGTGTCCCCCCCACTGTGTCACCACCCACTACTGAGAGGAGCCGACGGTGCTCCCGAAGGGAATAGTCCTCATGAACATTATCACTGCCCACCACATTGCTGGCAGCATTGTGCGCCAGCTCTGCCTTCCCTGTGCCAGGCAGGTCGGGGGCACTGGTACTCTCCACATCCTGCTCAGCATATTGCACATCATCCAGATTCTCCTCTTGGGAGCCTGTGGGAGTAATCACAGTTACATCTCTGACACCTTCCCACTACCTTTTCCGTCCTGACCCATCACCAGCCCCACCACAGGCAGCTACTTCTTGCCTCATCTCAGCGTTGTCTCCTGCTCAGAGGGACAGGGATGCTCTAACACATGGGAGCTGTGCACCCTCCTCAGCACCTATTAGCCTATCAGCATTGCCAAAGGTTGAGGAGGTGTGTGCCATTGCCTTTAGTCATCACTCTGGCCACAGCTTTGCAGGGCAGGTATGAGCACAGGAAGCCACGCTGCACACCTGGAAGCCATGCTGCACACCTTTGGCTCTGTCACTTCTGCCCACATTTTTGCTGGAATTGCATCGTTAAATGTGGGATTGAGAGGTAGTTGTCCCGTTGCCCACTACAGCCCACTGTTTGGTGACCTCCCAACCTGCCCGTAAAAGAAGTGAAAGTAGCCACAAAAAACTCTTCCCAGCCACAGCAACCTGGCAGTGAAGGGCTGTGACTTCCTTGGTACAGAAAGTCCACTACTTCTTTCAACTGGTGCTGGAAGATCACACACCAAAGTGACGGATAAAAGGATCTTCCAGGTTCTGACATTATGGCCCCTACCTGGCTGCTCTGTCTTTTCTCCAGAGTCCAGGCTCTTCTCCGGCCGATCCATTTTCATGTACTTATAGAATCCGAATCTGCAGAGGGAAGGGCAAATCACAAGTTTGAGAAAATTTACTTTGCCCTCTCCAAATAAATTATGGCCACTGCTTCAGGGGTGATGGTCCATTACTCTGATTACATCCACCCAGCACCTCTAGATCCTACTTCACCATCACCATCTTTCATATCTTTGGTCAATCAGACCTTACTCTGCACTGTCAAAGACATCCATTTTCCTTGTTTACCATTTCAGCCTTTCAGACATTTTCTCATAAGTGCAGGAGGAAATCCCAATATAAGTACCCTGAAACACTTCTTTAGCCTCCTTTAAGTTGCTCACTTATGATATAGTGCTCACAAATGCAAGTCATCATGCTGCAAAAGCAGCTCAGGCAGGCAATTGCAATGATCTCTCTTTCTCTTCTCTCGTACCACCACTGTCTTTGTGTTGCCCTCATATGCCTGTACTTCAACTGTTTGGGAGGGATTTCCAGGACTGTTTCATTCCCTGCGTGCTTGATGTCAAGCAAAATGCCCCCCTATTCCCAAGCCCTATCACAATACAAATGTTAAAGCTGTGAAAGCAATAGACCTGGGTGGCACCTTCCAGCCCACAGCAGCCACCTTGTCCGTCCTTTACTAAGATAAGAACTTCAGCCCCAGGAGCTCCCTCCCAAACTTATGATCTGCTGTTTCAGCCCTCAAAACAGTCCTGTAGGGAGTAAGACGATCCTGATGACAGGAAGGCCACTATCAGCTATGTCACCAGAAAAGTGACTCTCCTTACCCTGCAAAAAAGTCCTCCTGCACGGAACAGAGTCCTCACACAAGGTTGCACTGGGGAGCACACAAGTGGTAGTTCCCTCACAGGACCACCACTGAGAGCTGGACCCCAGTGAAGATGAATGACAAGCATTTCTTCCCCCAGAGAGATGCCTGATGGTGATCATGGTTTGGTTTTCACAGTAACAGCCATCAGGAGGCTCCAGCTGCTATCAGGCAAAGTTTGCCGGAAATACACTCTCTGATATAATGGAATAAACATGCTCTGACCCAGCTACTGGCTTAACGGAGCAGGAAAAGCAGTGGCAGTTTCCCCTTGAGACCTAAATATATTTTCATTTAAAGGGGATATAAGTTAACGAAATAAACTATAAATGTTTTAATGTTTTGCAAAGCTTAGGGAGATCTTGAAGAACTAAGAGAGTCCTGCAGAAGTAAGTATGAAATTCCACCCCAATTCCAGCCTTCAAACCATCTCCTTCCACCCTGTTAGGGACCCTTCATTTGCAGCATCCTACCTTTCCAAGTAATACGGGTTTTCCTGATAGAAGCATTTGTTATCTTTCTCCATGTGGCTCAGGCGGCTATAATCATTTGGGTAAACAAAGGATAAATGAACCTGGAAAGAAGGGAGGAAAATAAGGTAAAACCCTCATAAATGCCAAGTATCAGTCACAAGGTGATCCAGACACAGCTGCAGGGTAACTAGCTCTTTTGAGACAGAGCAGGGGTTGCTCACTGTTTGCTTCTCTGAGGCACCTGGAAGCAAGTTGTGAGAATGGAAAACAGAAGGAAGCATGCTGGGATGTGTGCATGGGTATGCCTTTTTCTCTCTCTCTCTCAGCATTGTCTGTCCATCTCTGTAACTGTGCATCTCAATCTTATAACAGAGCAAGAACTAGCTGAGAGAGAGGTGGGAAAGTCCTCCTGAGGAGACGAAGCATGTGTGGAGATCTCCAGACAAGGCTGAGGGATGCAAGTCCCTCAGGGAGTGTAGGCTTGTGCTGGCATCCAGGGAGGACAAACCACACTGGTGACTTCAGTCTGCTCTGCAATATGGGGGATGAATCCCTGCTATGTTGCATTCCCCATAAACGTGAGCTCCCCCTCAAGACTTGTCAGGGTATTTAGTAGTTCACACAGACTACAGTTCACCCATGGGGAAGAAAATCCTTGGACATTTTGAGGCTCCATGTGAAGGCAAGCTCTGCTCTCTGTTTTGAGTTCCGAGGAGCTCTCTAAGGCACACACACATTTGTACCCCAGTGACACCCATAAACAGCATGTAGCACTCATCTCCCTTTTCTTAGTGTTGCCCTTTTCCTGTACTGGGATGCACAGACCTGAACTGCTGATGGTCAAATCTGCCCAGGAGCTTCAGGTCAGTGGAGAGACCCTCATGTTTAATGTGATCTCCCTCCTTCCTCCTTGTGTTCCCCTGGGCAAATACCTGCTTAAGGAGTAAAACTTACAAACTGGAGTCCCTGGTAGCGCTGCAGAGGGAATCCATTCACCAGGTAGCTGGGCTTGTATGGGCAGTCTGGCAATGCTCGGCGCACACGAGACTTGCTGAGCAGAGGCACTGAGAAAAAGAAACACATAGGCAAGTGCTGTTGGAGAAGTCCTGCTGCAACCAGTGCACCAGCTTAGCTACTTCTGTGCCTGGTTTCTACTTATCCATGTGAAATACTAACAGATACATCAAGTAAACTATCTTGCACAGCTCATCTCTTCACATTCCTCTACAGCACTTACACAAAAACATTATGCCTGGGGATGTTGTATGAGCTGGATGCCAAGAACGAGGAGCTGGGTTTAGTCTGTGCTTTGTCTCCTACAGTGACAGATATTGTATGCTGCCCCCCTCTTCTGCAATGGGGAGAAAAATAGGTGGCCTTTGATAACCATGACAAAGGAGGACAATCCTTCTCAGTTGTGCTACTGCACATGCTGTGACAGGCTGTAGCTACCTCCTCATCTGCTTTGCAAGTCTTACCTTCATACAGAGTGTCCCGGGGGTCAGGCTTCAACATGTCAGCTGGGTGTGCCTTGCTGCCTGTGCTGTCAGCGGGTCGCCTCGTGTGACTGGCCAATGTCTGCGGGATGTGTCCAACCTCATCCATCTTTAAAAGTGTCTCGTCTAGAAACCAGAGGGAGAACGGAAGGGGGAGGAAGAGCTAATTCGTCCCTTGGCCCCAAAAGGCACCCCTGTCCAGTGTCAGCCCTTTCCAAATAGCATTGCATCCGTGGCACTAACACTATCTCTGGCATAGTAATGCCTAAATGGGGCTGGTCAGGAGCTTCACTGCAAAGGCACCATGGAAAGGAAAGGCTTTGACTCAGAAAGCTGGAAATACAGAAGCTATAGGGTAGTTGAGTAATGGAGGAACACGACCTTCTACCTTGGACACAGCAGCAGTGGTGTGCTGAAGAAGCCCCATGCTGGCAGGAATCACTGGACCCTTCTGAATTATTAGTATTAAATTTATTCTAAAAGGAGACAGAACACGTGAATGGGAGGAGAAACCTGAAGAGCAGAGCTTTCTCTCTAGTCTTGCTGGAAAAGGATTGGGACCCTGGCGCAAGGCCTTCAGTGGCCAAGGAGAAGGGTACGCCAGCAAGGGAATGGAGACCCACAGTAAGCTAGGAGCACTGGGAAGCTTAAACTCAAAACTGGATATTAGTTATGCTTTTTCTTGGGTGCTGCTGCTAAGGGCCTTCATTTCTCCATGGATCTTGCTCTGAGATGTGGGGAAGTGAATAAATAACCAGGAGGGAAAGGTAAGATGCTGCCAAGGACACTGGGGTTAGCAGCTTTTGGGTACTGAACATGGGAACCCAGAAGGAATGGGATGACATGTGATACAGCCAAAGGCTGGTATGGAAGAGAGAAACACTGTATGGGCAGAAGGTTCCAGGTAAAGATGAGACTGCAGCACTGTGCCCAGCCACAAAGGGATCTTCTGGGATGTGAGTCATTCCAGAATTAATAAGAAGAAAAGAGCAGAAGGAAAAAGGATGGGCATAGAAGACTAACTGAAAGCCTAGGCCTGGCCAAATGGCAGGTTTCAGAAAATACAGCAGCAGGTTGTGATCCAAGACACAGCAAACATATGTCTTGATTACATCAGGGAGTCTTCCACGGGCAAAAGTGTTGGCATAGAAAAAAGCCCAGAGATGTTGGAAGGAAACAGTGGTAGATATGGAAAGGGGGAATGCTGGCAGAGGAAAGCAATGCTGACAAAGCTAGATAAACAGGACTGAGGAGCTCCTTAACTGATAAAGGCATCACTTGATGTGCTAAGAAGGGTTTACAAAACAGAAGAGACTGTGCTTATGTGCTTGCTGCAATCCAGCAGCAACCTGAAGAGACCTGAGGCTGATATAGAAGAAAGCAGCAAACCCCATATCACTGGTGTATCCCATTGTGTCCAGCATCTAGAGTGAAATCTCCTAGAAGTGCTACAGCAGCCCCTTCTCCCCGATCATGTCCAGATGCCAACATATCACCACAGCTCCCATGTTCTGGGCCTTACATTCCCCTTAGCTCTCTGCAGGCACTCTCCATTCCATGTTACTTGCACATCTGGAAAAGTTGTCACCCTTGCAGACTCTCCTCGGTGCCCTTCCTCACTGCCTCTAGATTTCCCTGAAATAATCCCAATTACTTCCAATTTTCCTATATCTAATCATGAGTCACACTCTTGTTAAGACATCTCTCTCCTGACCTGTCTCTACTTCTTTCTTGTAATGATCTGTATGGATGGTATTTGCCTGGCTAGACTATGGCTCATGGTGAAACACTGTTGATATGTTTTGGAAGAATGGGGAGGTGCTCATGGAAACATGTGGTGAAGATACTTACTAGAAAAAAGGGAGAGATATTTGGAGTCAATGACTTTGAACTTCGCTTCTGGGTCATTCAGTCTCCACTGGAACAGAGAAACACATTAAAATGAAGTGCTTATGGAGTTAACCAAGCCTAAACAAAAGGAACAGGCACAAGATGTTTTTTCACCAGATGGGTTCACAGCTTCCTCTTTCTCCTTCCTATGACCGAGTTTACCTAGCAGCAAAAGACTGGCAATGAGCTGAGATCCCCCAGGACACATCCAAAGTAGGAAAGGACAAAGAGCTGCAGCAGAGACTGAACAGGGCAGAACTATCCTAAGCAAACAGAGGAAAAGGTCCTGACATGCAGCGAGGACTATCCCACGTAGAAGTAGGTAAGGGCTCTGGCAGGGATTAGATTAATTTCATGAAAAGAGGTGCTGGGGCCTGGGAAAGGAGGGACATGGTTACAAAAGTCATTCCCGAGCTCTGCAGAGACATGCATACAAGCACAGCCATTTGCACAGACTCACTGCTACTTCCACATGGTCTGTTCCTCTGTCATCCTGCTTGTGCAGCACCTCAAAATAGTACCTGCCTGCAGCTGACAACCTGTGAAGAACAACGTGTCTGTCACTGAGAGCATTATGGAACATTTCTTAGCTTGTCAGCACACAATGAGATGAGAACAACCACACCCCTGAAACAACCTATTCTCGGGGTGAGCAGAGTTAGGGCTGCCAAGAAAACCCAGATGCGGACAGTGGGATAGGGAGCTTCCCTTGAGCACTTGGAGTGCTCCAGCCCCTTCTCAGTTAAGTCTGAATAGCTCCATTTCAGTCTTGCCTGCTGGGTTTTGGCCTCTGGGAAACCTGGCCATTCCAAAGCAGGAAGCTTGAGATACAGTTCATATAGAGCAGTCTGGATCTGCTGGTGGCTGCCTCCTCCAGGGAAGAAAAATGCAGTGTTGCATTGCTGCAGTAAAGCAGCAAAGTAGCTGGCATAGGTGTGGATGTGTCACTTCAGCTTTGCCGATACCCCACAGTAATCCCATCCTCTATATTGCTAAATTCTTCAGAACAAGCCTGAGCTTCTTTTCCTTCTCCTTGTGATTTCCTGGCCACGTGCAGAGATGCTGAGAGCAAGGGGCTCTGCTCACTCACCTCACCATCTTTGACTGTTGGCTTTGAAATTTCCCAAACTCCCCTGGTGCAGTCCACTCCTTCCCTGTCTGTGAAGAGACAGAAAAAGCTATAGTTGAGTTTCTTCCTGCTATAATTACTGCACTAGGAGTGATGAAGAGGGAAAACTGAGCTATTCCTCCTGGGAAGTTGTCTGTGAGATTGGTAACCTAAGGACAGATTGAATCACGAACACAGAGCTCCCAATAGCACTGCCAACATGTAACTGCCTTAAGATATGTCGTGTCGTACCCATCTGGCATCTGTGGTAGTGTTGTCTGTAGTTGGGCAGGAAAAGAAACTTGAGTAGTCCAAGGCAGTAAGACAGGAGGGTCTCCATCCCCACAGAACCATTAAAGCCTTGATGGAAGAAGCCATGCAGCATGCACTGTACCTTGCCTACACTGGCCAGCAGCTGGAGACCAGAGGTCTTTTCATCTGGACTCAGCCAGAACTCAGCATTGTCATCCGCAGCAATGGCAAACTGAAACTCCCCTGTCAAGAGATGGAGGGAGTGAGTAGGGCTCTGGGATAAGAGCACAAAATGGATTCTGCTTCTCTAAAATGCTGTCTTTGCCCTTTTCCATTTTTCCCTTTTGATATTACCACCCCCATCCCTTTGAACCTCTCTGAATTCTCCAACTCTGCTGTGACTGAAAACAAAACTTTACTGGTGCAACTGGTTCACTATCCCTTCTGCACTGGCCTCACCTCCCATCTAACCTGGAAAACTAAGACATCCATTCAAAGTTTCCTGGACTCCTCTTTTGTTTCCAGAGCAAATTCTTGTGTGAGATGCTGTGTCTGGGTGGAGGAATGTGCATGTGGAGCCAAAGGGAGACAGAGGTGCATGAGTCCCACTGTTTTGGCTGGGGTTACAGGGGACCAGGAGATGCGGGTGAGTGCTAGGAGGCTGCTCTGGGCAGAAGCATGCAGCTGGGTGATACAAATGTCAGCTGCTGTCAGATGGTATTCATGCACCCAGGGAGCAGCAGGAACATCAATGATGTCACGTACAGCCTTGTGCATGCAAGGGAGAGGGAGAAAGCTCAGGGATTGCTTGTGCTCACGTACACACCATGGGGCTGTGCATCCGTGACAGCATTGTTTTTTGTCTACCACTTCCCATCTGTTTTCTTCTGTGCTTTTCCTTGCCACCCTACAGGGGAGGCAAATGTGTTTCCATCCATGCTAAGGCCACAGCCAGTCACGCACAGCTAGTCGCGTTGCCCATGTGAGGGACCTGGCTCTGGGCTTGCAGGAGTGAGGACACCAGTGGTTTAGTACCAGGAGGGGAGGGAGGGACAGCTGAGAAGAGACAAGAGCAGCAGCACAGCAGCCTCAGAGCCCTCACCATCGGTGAAAGGATGCAGATAGCCAAATATCCGGAGACCGTAGTTGGTCCATTTTGGGGACACAGCCAGCTTCTTCAGTATCGTTCGTGTCTGATGCAGAAGAAGAAAAAAATAATAAAGTTAATTAGATGTGACAGTAACAAAGAGGGACACAATAACCCTAGGACAGGTGGACAGGGGGAAGCATGAGGTTTGCACTGGGAGAAGGATGGGGCATGGAGTGTGAGAGAGGCAGCAGTAAAGAGCAGGCCAGATGAGAGACAATCTGGAGCAAGTGCTGCTGTGGAGGGGAGAGCTGCATGGGGGATGCTGGTGAGATGGTGGGGACGGGACATAGCAGATGCATGGGTAAAATGACCCTCCCCACGCAGCAGCAGAGTTGCCACCATTGAACCCTTGTCAAAGTTTCCCACTCCCACAGGAGGTCAAAGGAAGTGATGGAGAGGGAGGTGATGGATACTCAGGAGCACGAGGAGAGACAAGGTGATGGAGAGGGATAGGGACAGGATGTGAAGAGAGAAAGTGATGCAAGTGGGAAGCAAATCTGGGAAGCACTGGAACAGAGGGTGTCACAGTCTTACTCACATGGGGGAATAGGGGGAAGTGGAGGTTCTTCCTGAGCTGCTCAGTGGAGCTGCCGCACCAGTCCTCGAACACATGCAGATTAGCCTGGCCCTGGAACTGGGGGGCAGAAGTGAGGCACTGTGAACTGCTGTATCCATCCCCTGTATCCCTCCCCCTGTTCTGCCAACCTCATCCACAACCCTCAGCACTGGAGTGCTTGTAAGAGTGAAGGAAGATGCCGCTGCTGCAGCAGGCTGGTCTGCAGGAGACATGGGATCAGGCCTCTGATTCTCATCTCCTGAAGGTTTGGGGTTGGCACAGGTGACAGTCTGGATAGCAGCAGGGAACTGTGATAATGCTTAGGATGTCTCTGTTAAATGGCTGCCATTCACTCCAGTTTGCTCCACCAAAGAGGTGTTAAACCTGAGGGCTGTGCTCTGAGGCCATGGTGTGGGACAGCCCTAAGGGGGCAATAGTCCCCCATGATCCACCAAAGAGAGTGTAGGATCTTATGTTCTCCAAGAAGGTGTTTTGGCCTCTCTCACCATTTCAGGGCTATTTTCCTGACCCAAGGAAGAAGGGACACCCTAAGGACGGTAGATGGCCGATCACCCTCTCAAAACTTGTCAGGAAGGTAAAGCTCATGGAGGATGGTAGGACAGGGAGACTGAATCTCAGCAGGGTGGGAGCAGCAGCACAGGTGGGTCAGTGGGCAGCATGGCCTCCATGTGCTCACAGAGACACAGAAATAATGGGTGAAATGGGGGTCCGCCTCCTGGACAGTGTAGGAGGGTGTGCAGTGTGGGTATGAGTGGCTGTCCCTGCTACCCAGCTGACCCCACCAGGAGGGGCTGTTACTGCCCCATGGAGACCTGGAGCACAGCTTGGGAGCAGCTTGCTGGCTGCTGTGGGGCTTCAGCAATATACTCCTCAATGGACAGACTTTGTCAGAGGCATTCAGAAGGGAGGAGCTGGCTGCCCCCCAGCAAAGTCCAAGCTCTCTGCCTACAGTCAGTACAGGGATCCTCCTCACAGGAGCAGCATCCAACAGTGGAAAATAAACAAGCTGGAGACTCTAGAAGCTACCTTAGATGGCAAAATGCTGAAGAAAGGAATAGGTTGCTTTGGGACTGGGGAGGTTTGTCCGTGTCTGCCTTGCCTATATAAGGGCTGTGTGAGCAGTGCCGGGGAAACTGCCTGAACAGCACCCAGATGTCTACAGATGGCAGCAAATTCTTAGTTTTGGCTGGGGAGTCTCTCCGGGGCTTAGGCAGCACGGTGGGGGAGGACCCAGCTCCTCGGTGTGCTCCTGACAGAGAAACCACTTCACTGAATTATGTCTCCCAGGGCAGAGGGTTGGGGTTTCATTCTGTAATGAACCGTGGCTTGAAGGAAAGACTCAGAGCAGGCTTGGCCTGGCACCAGCTTATGCAGTAATGCTCCCTGCGAGCTGTGGGCTTTAGTCATGCACGTGAAAACTCTATGTGCCAGGCAAAACACATTCACAACCACTGCTGTTCTTGAGCGGTCTCTCGTCAGCCCTCTCTCATTGGTGTCTGCACTGCCAGGGCTTAAGTGATGCCTGCAAGCCTGTGGCGTCCCCCACTACTATCTCCTTTCCTCCTCTGCTGACATCCCCCTCAGCCTGGATTCTGCCCGTCAGGCAAGAGAAAAAGCAGTGAGACAAAGTGGATGCAATTCCCCAGAGTGATGCTGCACAAAATCACAGAGGGCTCAGGGCGATGGATGCAGCCAAGAGAAACCTGGGACTCTGCAGGGATTTGCGATACAAATAAATCACTGCAAATGTGACAGACACTCAATTGGAACATAATTGCTGTGCAGTCCCATGTCCCTTGGCCAAATCCAGGTTCACACCCAAGGATCTTACACTACCTTTCTCAGCCAAATCAAATAATGACAATTGCTGTTTCTTGTGGAGCATGAAGTGAGGTGAACAAGCTGAGCTCCCACAAGAAGTCACTGCCAGAAACTGAGTCTTACAGCAGTCTGCTGCTATCCACAAGTCATGCTGTTTTTTCTTCTTAAGAGAACTGTCTGCACACTGCAGATAACAGGATCAGAACTCTACCAACTGTGGCACAACACTCCCACACTGTGGAGAGGCTGGCACTGCAGTGCTAAAGACAGACCCAGGGCATGCTCCTGAGGCTAAGGACTGCAATGGAGCTGGGCTGGCTTTGGCAAGGGGCAGTCCAAATGTCAAAATTTGTATGAGGGAAGTCCCAAAAGAGTGGCTAGACTTGCTCAAATATTTACAAGGGAAACTTGGACCAGTCCCATTCTAATACAATACTTGACTGCAAAGTTTGGCAGCTACTAAAAAATAAGGCAACTTATTGTTGCCAACTGTACCAGGTACTCCATCAGTGGTGTAAAAGATGGTCCCTAAGACTGTTAGCCCAAAACTTCTGTCTCCAAGGTCTTTACAAAGCGACCTAAGAGGAGATTCTAATAAGATAGTTTTGCTTTCCTGCACTCAAGCTACTAGAAATAATTAACATAAATAGCAAGCATTTCTTGCATGCAGTTTCAGAATCTTTTCTAAAGCCACAGATTTCCTCCTGAGCTACAGCAGCCTAACTTACTCTCTGCTTCCTCTGAAAGGGAAAAGGAGAACGTTACTGACAGATAAGTGTTGGCTGCCCAAAGCGCTGCTTTGGGACTGAAAACTGAGCTCAGCTTTAATTTTAGGCCCCCACAAGTCATCAGTGCAGCAGCTGTTTTGAAACCCTATCACCTCTGTCCCTCCAACTCAACTCATGGCTGCCCACTGCAGGCAGCCGGGAAATTCCTCCGTTTGCTATTTGGGTCTCCTGTGGAACGTGCAGTAAAAATCTCCTGCTTCTGCAGATTGCAGTAATAGATAAATGGCACCATCATTCCCAGTTCACGCACACAGCTCCTGAGAAATGCCAATGAACCTTCTAAAACATGACTACTGATTTTGACTTACCAGCTTGGAACAACCTGGCCCTGGCTTTCAAAGGGCTGGAAATTCAGGACGTGGTAAGCAACAAATGAAGTTCTCCACCTCCCCTTAAAAATGTCTGCTTTGAAAATTTTGGATAGACTGATTGGACCAGAAGCAGGAATAGAAGCCAAGAGTCTGGATGTTCAGTGGGAGCTGGTACTACGTGGTCTGTGCATTCCCATTTCAAGGGCTCCTCGTGCCCTTGGCTCCATCCCTGTCCCAACCCCACCTCCCAGTTGCTTATCTCCACACTGCTGAAATAGCAGCACTGCAAGAACCCAGCTTGGATCCAAAATGGGCACAGGTCACACACCAAGGGCACTGTCAGCACAGCACGAGTACAGCCAGGAGCACGCACACAGAACTGTTCTTCCCTAGGAGGCCTGGGCACGCTGATACCCTCCTGAGCACAGACCATGGACACACAGTGACAGGGCTGCCCGAGGGAAGGGAGAGTTGAACTTCAACAAGTGCAGGGAGGTGGGAGCTGGGACAGGCCCTTACTTTGGTGCTGATGCAGCAGCCTCCATGAATTTGGGAGTGCAGCCGTGCTCTGAGCCCTACTGCCAACCCTTCCTGCAGAGCATGGTGAATTAACACCCCCTGCAGCCCTGGCTTTGTATTAAGAGACTTTGGAATTTCTGCTTCCTTCTAGCAAGGAATTTTACATTATCAGCCCCTCCTAAGGAAACGGACCGTAAAGAAGGATCAGGCACGCAGAAGAATGCAAACATCTCTTCTTACCCCAAACCCTATCATGTCAAAACCATCCAGGGAAGTGGCACCACACAGCCAGCCCCTCCTGGTGAGCAAGGACCGGGACAAGCAGCAAGCTGGAAGGATTGCAATCAGTGGACGCACTACCTGGTGCTTTGGCGTCACGGAGACAAATCATCTGCATAGCTGTGAGCAGCCCAGGGAATGCACAGCGCCGGGGATGATAAACAGGGCACAGAGAGGGCCTGAGCCAGGGAAGAAAGGCGACATTGTGCTGCCAACTGGAAACTCCGGAGCTCATAAGACTCTTCTGTCTCTGCAGAGCGACTGCAGCCCCTCCTCCTGCTGCCCCAGCTCCCCTGACTGGCTGACATTCAGCAGCCAGCAGCTGGGCTTCATTCGCTGCAAGCTCTGCCGCGCCGGGCACTTGTGGGAATCCATCAAGACAAACTAGTGACAAAGTGCCCCTGCCCCACTGAGCCCTGATGGGAGCAAGCCGGGAGGGAAGGGACACGGGCAGGGACAAAGCCAGCAGCAACAGCTTTGTCTTTTAGTCCTCTTAGGAAAGGAGGCTTCCTCTTAGGGAAGGTCTGGTAGCAGAAGGATGCCCTACCACAACACTCCGATTCTGTGCAGCACCTATGCACCTGTACAGACATTGCCTTCAAAGGGCTGTGCTCCTGGACTTCCCTTACACCTTCCAGTGAGAAGGAAGTCCTGAGGCTGTGCAGACATGAAGAGAAGTGGACATTTTAAATGCACGTCAGCGCTGCCTGGACCTTTCACCTCTCAGAAATGAATAGAGGCTTTTGCAGAGGTAAATGAGAATGACTGGGCTAATCAAGCACATATGTGAAAGTCCTCACCCCCACACCTATGGCAGTGCCAAATAGTGATGCTCATGGCCCCAGCGTGCAAGTTTACAGCAGGCACCTTTCTGAACTAATGGAACAAAGTTCCCCATGTCTCTCTAGCCTGAGGAGGCATTGGGTGACACTGGGAGCTGGACGGCTTTGCTCTAAAAGGGACAGTGAGGGTCAAGATCATGTGTATGGGCACCTGGATGAACTCAGGAGTGAGGCTGAACCCCACTGTCCCACCATAGACAAGGTATAAGTTCATTAGGGGTTTCCTAAGCACACTTTCCCATCACATTATCCCAGGCTGAAGACTTAAAGTGTTGATTTAATCTCCTCAAACTGAATGAGGAGAATTGAAACCTGTTCCTCTTTGGCTGTGCTGGCTGCCAACTCACCCTGCAACCCTGTTAATTATTTACGTGTCAAGAATATACCTCTTCATTCAAACAAAGCCCGGCTCCCTGACCTGTGGGAGGCAACCTGCTGCCCTCACCCCAGGAGTCAGGCTGCAATTGAGTTCTTAGAGATGCTGCTGGGAGAGCACAATAGGATCACAGACCCTTGGCTAATTAATTTGGGCAGAGTTACAGAAAAACTTAATCCCCGGGACAGGAGTAATTTCAGCCAGCGGTTAAGAGGACAGCAAGCGGCTCTGTGCAGGGCTGTGTCTGTAGATCGCTCTCCATCTCCTGCAGCTGGTGCTGGTAAACTGCTGGCCTCTGTTTGCAGTCAGGGTGGCTTACAGAGATAAAGCGAAAACTGGTGAAGGAGGTGAATGCTTCACAGGAGCAGTGTTAGAGGGAAGGACCAATGGGGGAGAATGGCAGGATGTGTGTGGGGCACAGCCACACAAACCAGCTCCCCAGACTGGTGTCTGGAATGCTCTGGAGCTCAAAGTTTTCTTATGAAGCATCTGCTGCGCACTATCTGACACAGGGCATGGGGGGACTTGGGCACCCACAAACTCCCAACAGCCGTCTGAAGCAGCAGCCCTGCTACCTGGCAGATTGCTCCTCCCCAACAGGGAGCAGTGCAGGACAAGGCAGGAGACACGCAGCACCTCTCCAGAACTGGGGCCATCCCGCACGGCACACCTCAAGTCCTACCCCTTCCCTTTGACCAGAACACCTCTCTGCTTGCTCCACCCTTGGCAGCAGCACACCAGGGTGGTAGGTTTGCAGGCTGGTGGGTGCCCTGCCCAGTGCCATGGCATGCAAGGGCATGAGGCTGCCTCACCAGCAAAGCAGAGGGGTTTGCACGTCAGCCCTGTGCTAAGCACATACCTTCACCCAAGCCACATTGCATACCATGCCAGCTGCATTTCCAACCACACTGCACACCACAGCCAGCAGGTTTCAAGACTAATGTGCTCTTGTGAAATCACCAGGTAGGGAGGGGATCAGAGACATTGAGCAAAGCCTCATAGTGGCTGGTGGATGCCACGCAGAGCCTGTATCACCCAGTGCTGTGGGAGAGGGGAGCATTTAATGCTCCATGTCATTCCCGTGCATAGCAGCAGTCCTGCCCCTGATGTCCCACAGGCTCTTTGCCAACAACAACTGCTCATCTGCCTGCAAGGCCAGAGGAAGCCCCCAGGCTCCAGGTGGGACCAGCATTCACTCGCCAGAGTCAATGCAGCAGAACAGATCAATGGTCTGGTCTGGTTCTGGGCACTGGAGGGTGACTGGCGCTGGCTGCTTACAGGAAGGCTTAAGCTTATGCTGCAGGGACCTAAACTGCTCAGCACGATGGCTGGAAGGCAGTGCTTTCTCTCTACGGGCCAGCAATCATCTTGATCATCTAGTGCCCTAAGCCCAGGGACAGCAGCCTGCTCCGGCCCCCGGGGAGCCACAGAGGCCCTTCTAACTTGTGCGGGTCTCTAATCACCTTGAGGAATTTAGTGAACTGACTCCATCAGCTAAATGCCCCCTGGCTGGTGTCCCTCTCATTTTAAGCAGGCTGCATTGCTCCCTTATCCCAAGAGGAATGATGAGATAAGGGAACAGGGGAGGAAAGAATAAATGAGGCATGAAGGAAACAAAGGGAATGTTTACACCAGTCTTCAAGGGTCACCAAAGAAGGTCTCTGTTTATCAGAAGTGTCACTGAAGTGGAGAAATCTCTACCTATGACACACAGGGATTGGATAGCAAGCAAATGCCAGCGCAAGAGCAGAGTGTGACACTTCTGCATGCCACAGTCATGTATTTGCTTGTTGAATGCTTGGCCCTACCCACTCCCAGCCCTGAACAAACTTCACCTTTCAGGAAGGTAGCGGGCTGCCTGCTCTCAGGGAATGGTGGGTGGGTCCTCGGTGCCTTGGAGGCTGGAGGAGGCACCAAATTATCAGGAATCTGGACACTCCTGTCTTTCCAGATGATTACTCAGGTCTGTAAGTGTTATTAAGCCAGGAAGGGGTGATAGGGAGTGGGCTTCTAGTGAAGCAAATGACCTGTCTTCTCTTGCTGCACAGGTCTCTAGCTACAGCTCCCTCATACAAAACACTGGAGAAAGGCACCCACCTCTGGCATCCACAGGACAGGGTTGTTCACACCTGCATAACTTGATTTATTCCTCCCACCTCTTTGCAGCTCTAGTTTCTGAAATACAAGCAGAGAAAAATCAAAATAACCTGATAAACGACCCAGCACTGACACCTACACAAGAGGGCTCAAGAACTTGTGAATAAAAGGCAAGTTCCCAAGTTCCCTTTCCAAAGGACTGACCAGCTATTATGGCCACAATGGGGTGAAAATGCTCCCTGGCTTTTTTGACAGCAAATTTCCATGGTGAGCTATTGAGGGGAAAGGATACTAGCACTTGATAACTGTTTGCTAGCACAGAATTAAAACTTGTGCCATTCTCCTTTTTTCTTCTCTCTTCCCATCCTTGCTTCAAAATAGCCCAAGCAATAGTTCTTCCAACACTTAATTCAGGCAACAGTACCGAGATGTGCTTCACTAAAGAGCTACAAACTCTCCTGACCTTCCATTTCTGCTTCCATCTTGCTTAGTGCAATCTTCCTGTGCCACATACTGAGCCAGCTGCAGCCCACTGCTGCAGCTTAGTACATCTAAAATAACTTAATTGACTACAGTGGAGTCATTGTATGTTCGCACTGCTGTGAGTCAGCTCAGATTTTGCCCTGTGGCATGCTCTCTTTCCTGCGTGAAAGAAGAGCTGTCTCTTAGAGCCAGCAGCAGAAAGGAAGGTCTGCCCTTCTAAATGCTTGGAATACATCCCAAGCCTTCTCACCTGCTGTCCTGGCTTCTGCGGAGAGTAAACCTGAGCACTTGGGTCTCCACCTGGGACACTGGTGTCTGCCAGAGCCTTAGCCAGCTCCCTCCAGCTTTCGTATCCTGTGCGGAGGAAACAGAAAGAGATGTCAGAGTAGAGGCTAAAAAAAGAAGCTGCAGCAGTTAGCAGAACAAACTGGTGCTTTACAAGGCTGAGAGACCACTGACACTCTGCAATGGTCCAGTGGAGACCAGAAGCTGTTTACGTTACTTGGAGTTGTCAGACTGACATAGACAGAAACTGCCTCTGTCTTCCCAAAAAGCACTTCCCTCCTTCTTACTAATTTGTTCTATTAAAGATTTATCACAGTTCTAAAACACATGTCAGAGATTTCATTAATCACCACAGGACTGGGAACCTCTTTGTAGATCCCTCAGATAATCCCACTGGTCAAGCTAAAAACATCCAACTTCTTTAACCAGCAATCCCAAAGAAAAATAACCAGACTACTAATCAGTTTAAACATCAAAATAAAATTATTCCGAATATGCACCTATTTGCACAATAAAAGCTTTCAATCTTCTTTTCTTAAAGGAAATGATGGCAAAGTATGCACCTGATGGGACATTCAGCTGTAATGCCTAAAATAGTAGCAGTGATGCAGTTAAGGTCATCACTATTTAAGTGAAGTCAGCTTCCAGGTCCAAAACAACTTCATTTGATGCTCCCACCACTCCCAGTCTGCTCGATCCAGGAGCTAGGTCAATTCTGGTTTTCTTCTACAACTCCGTTGGCCTCCCGTGCTCAAGAGGGACAAAGACGAGCAGATGCAGCATAACTCTGTAGCTCTCCCTAACTGCCGTCCATATCACTAACAAGACGGTGCTGGTGAGCAGAGCTCACGCCTCTCAGCAGTGTTACGGTGGCTCTCACTATGCAGTTTTCAATCTGCTAAACATTTTGGCACTGAGTGAGCAATGAACCAACCTGCCAGCAGCTCAGCACTCTGCCCACACAGCACGATAGCTTAATTGTGAAAAGCACAAGTGCCAAAACCTCCACAAGCACTTGGTTCATGCAGGCTGGTGGCAGACCAGCTCAATACCCACACACTAGGGAGCAGAGACAGGCTTTCTGCCCATTTTCCTTAAAAATGGAAATCATCCCTAAAGCTCTAGGAGGTCCAGAGAAATTGGCTGCCTTGGTATATAAAGGGAACCATCCTGCCAGCTTCAAGTGAGCATTGAGACAAATGGTCTCAGCCCTCCTTACTGCTCCTGCAGCTAGAAGTGCTGGGCACATGGTCTGAGGAGGCAGCACAGTCCACTGCTGGGGAAACCTCGACTGTTTTGGAGGCAGCATGCCCATTTTCACCCTGCCCACTCAACCCAGCAGTAAGATATGGACCTGTTGGAGACAATTCGGAGGAGGGCCCCCAAAAATAAACAGAGGGCTTAAGCATGTCTCCCATGAGGAAAGGCTGAAAGTTGGAGTTGTTCAGCCTAGAGAAGAGACAACTCTGTGGAGACCTTATTGTGGCCCTTCAGTACTTAAAAAGAGCCTTTAAGAAATATGGGAAGACTTTTTAGCAGGGGCTGTTGTGACAGGATGAGTGGTGATGGTTTTATACTAAAAGAGGGGAGATTCAGGCTGGATGTGAGGAAAAAGATCTTTATAATGAGGGTGGTAAAATACTGGCACAGGTTGCCCAGAGAGATGGTGGATGTTCCATCCCTGGAGACACTCAAGGCCAGGATGGATGTGGTTCTGAGCAACCTGATCTAGTTGAAGATGTCCCTGCTTATTGCAGTGGGGTTGAACTAGATGACCTTGAAGGCCCCTTCCAGCCCAAACTATCCTATGATTCTATTCTATGGGAGATTCACTGTGGCTTAAGAAGAAACATGCTCCATCAGTTTACTTTGGAGGGCATTTACAAGGCACATGACATAGATCAGCTCCAAACCATCTCTGAGCTATGCAGAGGCCCAGGCAAACCCAAACCAATCCCAGGAACTAGAATTCACAAACGACCCTTTGACCAACCACTCTCTCTGTCTGTGCTAAGCTCTTGGCCTGCTATTGCACCTACAAACAGGGTTGCAAAACGCTGCCTCTACTCGCTCCTGAACCTCGTTCTGTGGGGTCTGGCACAGGTGAGCAGAAAGCACAGATGTTGAAGCTGTCTCCTATGATGTGGAGAAAAAAGGGACAATAAATGGAAAGAAAATGAAAGAAATGTGGAAAATGTGAAAGTAGATAGTCAGAGATACAACTGAGACCTAGAGGCAACTATGCTGTCCTGCTTTCCTGATATGAGTGTTGGCTTAGATATATGGGATTCAATTCAGACCCTGTTAGATGCTGAACGACCACACATTTATGGTCTAGTTCTTCCCAATCTCAGATTCTGATAGGAAACTATGAGTTTAAATCTATGGCTAAAAACCTCAACATCAATATTTATCTTCTGCAGAAGACTGAAAAAGTCTGACACCCTGGGTGAGTAACGAAGCAGGAACCACTATTTGTATGTCCTGAAGCTGGACACACAGACCCACTTGCAATGGGGCTGAAACAGACTTTGAAGTTTGCATGAAATTCAGCACTCACTGCTTCATTGACTCATTGTACTAGTTGGAGATGGAAGCACACTCTTTTTTTAGAGGAGAGAGACCCAGAAGAGTGTGACTGGCTAAATAAGAGAGAAACCAAGCACAAATTCAGCATGGGTGGAGAATGGATTAAGAGCAGCCCTGAAGAGACCTGGCGGTGTTAGTTGACACGAAGCTCAACATGACCCATCACTGTGCACCTGCAGCCAAAATGCCAACCTTATGCTGGACTGCATCAAAAGTAGCTTGGCCAGCGGGTCAAGGGAGGGGGTTTCCCCCTTCTACCCCACTCTCGTGGCACCCAACCTGCAGTTCTGCATTCAGCTCTGGCGCCCCCAAGAGGGACATGGACCTGCTCAAGTGAATCCAGAAGAGCGACACAAAGATGATCAGAAGGCTGGAGCACCTCTCCTATGAAGACAGGCTGAGAGAGCTGGGATTGTTCATCCTGGAGGAAAGGTGGCTCTGGAGAGACTTTAAAGCAGCTTCTAGTACGTAAGGCGGGGGGGGCTACAAGAAAACTGGAGAGGAGCTTTTAACAAGGGCATGTACTGGCAGGATAAGTGGGAATGGCTTTAAATATAGGAGGGTAGATTTAGATATTACATCAAGAAGTTCTTCACTATGAGGGTGGTGAGGCACTGGCACAGGTTGCCCAGGGAAGCTGTGGCTGCCCTGTCCCTGGCAGTGTTCAAGGCCAGGCTGGATGGGCTTCGAGCAACCTAGTCTAGTGGAAGGTGTCCCTGCCCATGGCAGGGAGGTTGGAACTGGATGAGCTTTAAGGTCCCTTCCAACCCAAACCAGTCTATGGTTCTATGCAAATAAAAAAACAGCAACAAAAGTCAGTTCATTCTTGGGATGCACTGAGAAAGGACACCAAGAGAAGCAGGTTTTTCTTCTTTGTGCAAAGGTTATTTGATTTCATTGTTAAACTCAGGACTTTGCTGCTCTGTGGAACAAGTTCAGGACAAAGCATCAGGAACCTGCCTCTCCTGGGAAGAGGATGCTGGCCACCAGAGCCAGGCGCTCCGACTGCTCCACTGCGGTGACCCCCAGGCTCGTTGGCGCTTTGGTTCCTGTGCATGGCTGGCACTGAGCCCGCCTCACAGCAAACACAGAGGCCCAGCTGCACACAAGTGCCAATGGCTGACATTTGTCTGACCCTTGGAAAAGAGAAGAAAGGGGGGCAATTCTCTGCGTTGTACAAATATTTACCTAACACATACATCAGCCAAACAGAGAGGAGACAAAAGAGTGGGGAATTAATCTGGAGGTAGAGATTTCCTTACCGGGTAATTTGTACTTTGGCAAGCTAATTTTCCAGCATGGTAGGAAAGACTTTTCAAAAAGTAATAGGATAAACACTCCCCTCAGAGAAAGCTCTTGGTGCTCCAGTTCCTTCTCAAAAGATTGGCTTTTCCATGGGGATTTCCATGGGGCAACCCTGGAGGAGGACCTGGCTTTGCCCATGCTTTCCTTGCTAGGAGAAGAGAGGGTGTAATAGAAGAGACATATCTCCTCCAGCTTCCTACAGCCAGAATACTTCTTGAGGCCAACTTCTGACCAAGGTTTTCCCCATCACAGGCCACAGGATTCAAAACATCGCCTTGTAGGTAGGGGGCAGAAGGGCAGACATATTCATGTCAATGACAGTGGGTTTGCACAGAGGGCACTCAAACTACTTTTTCTATCCTCAAGCCAACCTCTAGGACATTTTCCCTATGTTTAAAACCAGACACTTGGCCAACCCCCCTTCTACAAGCAGAGATCCACCTTTCTTTCTACTTATATGCACTGGTGGTCCAAGGTTCAAGCCTCTTGGAGATCAGCTATTGCCCAGAAACATGAAGATAGTGGTTCTTCAGAGCAAAGTAGTCCTTTTTCTCCCTGTTCCCATCAGGCAGGCTGGCAGCTGCCTGCTGGGGACCCAAATCATAGAATCATAGAATAGTTAGGGTTGGAAAGGACCTTAAGATCATCTAGTTCCAACCCCCTGCCATGGGCAGGGACACCTCACACTAAACCATGTCACCCAAGGCTCTGTCCAACCTGGCCTTGAACGCCGCCAGGGATGGAGCATTCACAACTTCCCTGGGCAATCCATTCCGGTGCCTCACCACCCTCACAGTACAGAATTTCCTCCTTATATCCAATCTAAACTTCCCCTGATCAAGTTTTAACCTGTTACCCTTTGTCCTACCACTGCAGTTCCTAATGAAGAGTCCCTCCCCAGCATCCTCATAGGCCCTCTAATGCCCACCGGGGCTAAGCCTCAGCTGCCCCTCTGGATTTGAGATGGGCAGCCCTCAGGGCTTGATTTTGCTTCGGAGAATAGAGGCAGATGGACACAAAGAAAAGGAAAAGAGGCTGATGAGGAGGCTGAGACAGATCTGCATCTTACAGCAGAAACACCTACAAAAGGCAGCCGGTCTGGAGCCAGTTGCCTGCAGAGCCAGTGAACCAACTGTTAAGGGACAGAAAAGCTGTAACAAGAGAAAATATGATGA